GGCGCCGTCGGTGGGCTTCGGAACAATTTTGTCCTGTAGTCTCGGGAAAAACTCGCCGTCGGCGGGGTCGAGGGCGGCGTCGGCGGCCTAGTTCAAATCTTCACATTTTGGTCCTTTTCGCTCCAAATTCGCTCCTTTTTTGTATTTTTTTGCTCCAATGACCCTAATTCATCATTCCTGCAACAAAACATCAAAAAAATCTTTCTTTAAAGTGAAATATCATTAAAAACAGTATAAAATAGGTATAAAAATCTCAACATATTTTCCTTTTGTCAAATATTCAAGTTGTGTTGAAATGAACTTCAATGAATGGTCTGTGATGACCTAAATTGGGTGCATTTAGAAATATGGTCAGAGCCTGCAAATAGAAACAACCAAAGTAAAAGTTAATAGTTCCATTATAGGATACTTGATTTTGGTGCATCTGAGGACTCAACATGTGTAGTAGACTGAATATTACTTCATTTTCTCCTCTCTAAAGAGCACTGAATTAACTTCCTCTGATCTGACTCCTAAGTACATGAAAATTTCTTCATTTGGTTTTGGGCTTTGGAGGAGAAGTGGAGATGTCAGAGAATTCTTCGGACCCCTGAACGTCTACTCGCAATCGTATGACCATTCAAAATGTTTGCTTTTCCTTAGTTCCATAAAGAAAGTTGCACACTTTTCACTCAATTTTAAGATAAAATGGTCTAGCCTAGTTATCTTGTCTGTCAATTCCTGAACTTCTTTCATGTTTCGAGTGGGTGACATATCCGTCAAAACAATTAATTTCTCCAGATTTGTTCTTATGACTTCAGGGGTTAAGAGATTATCAAGGAACTTTTCTGTTGAGGCCTTAAAGATGCATTTTAGTGGGTTTAATCTCATTTTATATTTTCTAGAGGTTGAAAATGTTTCTTTTAAGTCATTAAAGTGTTATTTTGTTGATCGACTCTTTACCAACACATAATTAAACATACACTTCAATATTTTTCTCTTTCTGATCAGAAAATATTACATCCATAAGATGTTGTTATGTAGCTCCAACATTCTTAAGCCTACAAAGCATTACATCAAAACAAAACACACCTTTGATAGTAATAAAATATATTATTTTTTGCATCGACTAGATGCATTTTAATCTGGGGGTAGCCAGAGTATGCATTGAGGAGACTCATTACTAAATAACTGTTCACCACATCAACCAGTGTTTCTATGTTTGGCAAAGGATAGTTGTCCTTAAGAAAAGCATTGCTTAGTTTGTTAAATCTATGCATATCCTCATTTGTCGTTTGATTTTTACACCATCACGACATTAGAGACCTGGATTGGATACTGGACCTCTCTGACGTAGTCAGCCACATTCAACTTTCTTAATTCCTGGAAAAAATGGCCCAACTAAGGTTCTTGATGATGATCAAATTTTCAACTGCAGCGATTGGACTATTGGATTGATGCTCAAATGATGACATGCCACATCAATTGGTTTACTGGGTATTTCCGTTGTTATCCAAGAGAAAACATCTGGATGCTCGAGGAGAGTTTAGATCAGCATGCTTCTGTATCCTGCATTAGAACAATCAATTATTAGGAAAATTTTACCATGCTCCTCAGATAATGTTGGTATATCAAGGATGGTCTCTATGGTCTTGATACCCCTTCTCTTTGATTTGTATATCGAGTGGATCCTGTTCTACATTGGTGACTGCTCAAAGATAATACATTTGTGATTGCTATAAATTTTCTTGAGCCGTTATAATCTTCCCACCAATCAAAAATTTCACAGCTACATGATAAGTTGGAGCTATTTCTCAATAAATGTTTAGTAGCGGCCATTCGAAAATGGTGTTATATGTTGTTGGTAATTCAACTACTAGGTAGTCTTCCGTGTTGTTGAACTATTTCCTCTGCTCGCCCCAAGAAACGCATTAGGCAATGACCCACAAGACTTCTTTCCGCTAACCAGAGAAGCCAAATTGTAGACCCGCCAATGCAGTCAATTGGTTGGTTTTTAGTCCGATCTTATCGAACACCGCTTTGGAAAGAATTTTGATTGAGCTCCCGATGTCGATAAGAATATTGCCCACCTAGTAGTTGATAACAAGTGTAGTAACGATGATAATGTCATTATAGGGATTTCTTTTTTATGGCAAATCCATGTCGGTGAAGATGATGGGTGATGATTGTTCTTTTGGATAAAAGCTATGGAAAGTACCTCCCCTGACCAGAACCTTTTCTTACTGGCCCTATAGGATGACTCTCCTCCAAAAATAACTAAGATGATCCCAATGATGTGTATGGAATTCACTCGAACGGGTTTGTTCGGTACCTCTTCCATTGGTGCATTTTCCTATCACTGAGTATTTGCTCCTACAACAGCAAACTCTAGCTTTTTCGTGCCAATCAAGTCCTTCACTAGACATTGAAGATGCCAGCATTCCTCTGTGTCATGATCATAATCCCGAAGAGGCTGACAATATTTGTTGGGATTCTGGAGGGAAACTCTGAATTTCATAGGTGGCGCCCTCTAGAAATACTCCTTCTGAATGCCCTCCACTAATTCATCCATTAAAACTCTAATGGGGGGAATTCCTTGCATCTCGCTATATAGGTGTGATCGTCATAACATTGAGTAGCTCGCTGGTCAAAATAGAAAATTTGACCTCCCTTATTGTTATTTTTATTTTCTCTCAAGTTTTCACAAGGGGGTCGATTGTTCTCATAATAAGAATGACCAGATGAACATTCATTACTCTTTGCCTTCTAGCTTTCACCTTGGGCAGCTCTTTTATTCGAGCAACGATCGGATGTCTCTACCTTTGACTAAAAGGAGCCAGTGACATACTCCTCGATAGTGATATAATTGTTGGTCCTTTCCAATGGTTCAACCGAAGATTTGGGCTTACATAGACCTAAATCAAACTTGAAGCAGACATCTCTCACTCCTTCAACCAGTGTGGTTTGTGCGATTATCTGTTGCAAAATCTGCACCACCAACATTTCTTTCTGGAAACGAGTAATGTGCATTCTCACCTTGTTTGAGCTACAACAGAACCTGTGTTTTTTTCTTCGGCTTTTAGTCGCTAGCGAAGTGGGCGACAAACACTTTCTTGATATCGATGAAAGAAGGATTACTCTCACTACCACGTTATTAAACCACCTAAGGGACGTCTCTTCTAGCGTGGTTAGGAACAACCGACACTTCATAAAGTCGTTAATTGTCGACATTTTAATCGCTAACTCGAAAGCAGCTAGGTGATCAGTTTGATAAGTATATCCCTTATAAGAATCTAAGTGAGGGGATTAGAACTTAGTCAATGGATCGACTTCCTAAATTTGTCGGAAGAATGGACCCTCTGGAAATGATGTTCGGTGTGCTTCTATCTGCACCGATTGATTCCTCTCCATCATCGTAGATCTAGCATCATCATCATATTGGGAATTTTCTCGCTCTTCAGTTACTATGACTTGTCTCCAACCGCTAGGGGTTGATAGTTATTCTCGGGGTTGAACCCCATGAGGTTGAGTCCTGTGGGACTCTTCTTCCAAGGGTGGTGGTTGATCTAGCCCTTGAGTAATTGTCTCATGAAGGGCATTAAACCGACCAGCCACCTGGTTTGGCAAATCCTGAATTTGTTGTTGCACAAATTCTCGTGTACACTTCATTATGGTAGTAACTCTTTGGCTAGTTTCTCCTGCTTGCAGTGCTCTACTTCTCATGTAGGGCATGTCCATGCTCACGACACCACCTTTTAGGATATTGAATCCCAAATTACCTTTGTGTAGACACATCTCGAGGGTTAGAACATAAACGAATGAAGAAAAAGAGAAAAAGATAGTGTCAACTTGAGAAAATGAGTGTGTAGCCTTTTATTCATAAAATAGTCCCTATTTATAATCATATGAGGCTTAAATTGATAATTACATTAGTACCCTTACTCTCTTATTAGCTAGAGGGTGTATTAGATCTTTTTTTTAGTCATTGAATGATTATTCGAACCACCTCTTTAATACAAATGTCCAAATATAAATAGTCGTGTATATTGAATCTTAAACTTGGCAGCTAATATAATTGACTTTTGTCTCTATTTGATGGCCACCTAAGCCATTACTGATTTTGTAAGCAGTTTGATTCTATCGACTGTTTGTATTTGATGGATCCACTAGTCGGGTGGGCGGATGTGTTGATTAAACTTGTTGTTTTATTTAATTTCAATCGACCGTAGAAATGCTAGTCTGAACTGCTTGTTCCCTCTAAGATTCGTGCTCACATTTTCTTGTATAGTGTATACACATTGAGTGAATAAATTTGATGAATGTGTTAGATCTAATTAATTTTATTCATATTATGTTATTTTTTAAATCAAATTCAAATAAGGAAAATTTACATACATATAATTCAATTTTCATGTATTTAGATATCTAATATCTAAATTCATATATATATATATATA